CTTTTTCGGCCTGTCCCCCGGCGGCCCCGGGCGCGGCAGCGATGCGGCCTGCCTTGCTGTTTCCACCCGCTCCTGCCCCCGAGCTGCTGCGCCCCTCCCCCTCGCCCCGCCCCCTCCGCCCGCCCCCTCCTGTCCGCACCGCACGATGGCCTCTCCCGCTGTGATCTGCACTCTACGCCCCCGGGCCGCCGGGCCGCCGGTCGACCCGGAAACCACCTACCGGGACAGTCTCCCGGTGGCCAAGTTCTTGTTGAACTATCCGCAAGGTCCGCCCGCCTGCCCGTCCGCCGTCGCGCCACGGCGGCCCCGCTGACTGACACCCTCCCGGCCCTTGCTGGTGCCCTCGATACATGTGCCCTGCCCTGCGTGCCGGCAGGCGCCTACACCACGGCCCGGACGGTGGCCTTCGGCGAGCGCATCGTCGAATTCGAGTCGCACATGTTCCGCCTTGGTATGTGCCCCGCCGTGCTTGCACCAAGTAGATCGGGCGGATCCCCCCCCCTCCCGCCGCCGCCGGCCGCCCCGCATGCCTGACACACGCAAGCCCCGCCTCCCTTCCTTCCACTCGTCTCTCTTTCTCTTTCGCCCACTCGGGGCCTCCCCATGCGAACCGGCTGCCTTGAGCAGCCGAATCACTGCGGATGATCCACTTCGGGCCGCCCGATGCCGAGCCGGCGCACATTGCCGCGGCTTTCGCCCCGCTTCGGAGCACCCCGTCCATGGATGGCGTCGACGCCGCCACCAACGGGCTCCACACCGGGGTCGTGGCCCTGGATGAGGCGTCTCTCCTGAGGCAGGGCCTGTCCCTGGAGGAGCTGTCCTCGATGTCGCTCGCGGTGAGCCCCCGCGCCGGGGGCGCCGGCACGACCACCGACGGCCCTACTCTGGAGGAGCGCATGGCCCGGTGGCCCGCCCCCCCGGCCGCCATCGCCCGGATCTTTTGGCCCCTGCTGGGTGCCTGCCGGAGGGAGTTCTTCGCGCGGCTGAGCCCGGCCGACTCGCTCCCGGACCTGCGTCTGACACTTGTCATCTCGTGGGACAAGGCGGTGCGTATTCGCTCGGCGCTCGGGCGCCTGGCCAGCCAGCCCGCCACTCGCGCAACTGCCCTGTGTCTGTCTCTCCACACCCACACATATGGCCTCTCTCTCTCTCTCTCTCTCTCTCTCTCCCTCTCCCTCTCTGTCTCTATCTCGCTCGCGCGCGCGCGCCCCCTAACCGCCCCGGGCCCTGGGCCCATGTCCCACGCCAGGCCGACACCCCGGTCTATGCGGTCCATTGCGGCCTGCTGCCACCGGCGCCGATTGCCTACTCGGCCGTCCAGTCTTCGCGCTTTTTGAGCCCCCCCACTCCGGCTGCGGCTGGTGGCCCGGTCAGCGTGGGCGTCACGGTGGAAATCCGCGGCAACCCCCGGCTCTCGGCTGCGGCCAAGGACTGCAAGTGGATCCAGTGCGCCTGCCCCGCCCCGCCCCGCCCCCCTCCCTGCCTCTGGCCCACATGTTTATCCGCTTTTGTTTTGGGTGGCGCCCGTGCTCCCCCCTCGTCTCTGCGGGTGGGACACCTGTCCTGCTTGT